CAGAATATCAAGCCCGGTGCATATACCAGGCTTGCAGATTTGAGCGAGAGGTCTGGGGTGTGGTATGGCTTGGGCGAAGCACTGGAAGGATAGGTTTCCGTGCGTTGCTGCTGTGTATATTTGTTTTTGACGCCTTGAGCCTCGCGAGCGTAGACCAGAGTATCATGTTGGCGCTGCATCACCTGGACTGGCGACGTGGATCTTCCGTGAAGTGCCTCGGCTAGATGATGCCCACTGATGTGGGTCGGGAGTACATCTGTCCTGTGGTGGCCGCGGTTATACAAACACTCTGGTTCATGAGTCCCGTGCTACGGAGACTGGTATTGGAGTTATCAATTTGACGCTTTCGTGCATGCGGTGACATTCAGGCGCTGTCATGATTTATAGCAGATGCAAAGACAAGTGTCTGTTCCACATCTACTGTTAGTTATGTATGCGAGGTGCGGGGTATGTGCTGCCACTACAATACTTTGCTTCCAAAAGGTGGCTTCGAAGTTCGGACGCCACTGCATGCCACATCTACACAACTTGGTACTCAGGGCTCACGACAATGGCAGTCATCCTATAATCGGTTCTGCCCCCAGCTGACATTTGTTCAAAATTACCGTAGGATATGGGTGAATGACAACGCCCGCCCACGAGACAAAGTCCACGCGTCAGCTTGAACAGCGACCTGCTCAACGTTAATGCCTTCACTCAAGCCTCATCGGTCACCACCTAGTTATATTAGAGCGTCTGGCCTCTTGGCCCTGCGTACTTCTGCTTGTTTGCTATCGATTGACCAAACGTCAACCTTCTCCTTTCAAGTTGGTTTCTTTTCGCCGTTGTGTCATTGGCATGCCAGTCTGTCGATTCATCATCGCGTCTCCCTTACCGACGTCCTCTAATCCTAGCCCTAGGGCCGACACATCTCCAGCCCCGCGCCGCTGGCAAACCCAACCCGTTCACGGATCGCACCACGTGCTGGGGTTCCTCATAACCAAAGATATTCTCAATCGCCCCATCTACGATAAGTTCATTCCACTCCCCGACAACCCCTCCGAGCGCGAGAGAGAAAGCTGCTTCCAGACGTTCCACGACTTCCTCCCGCAGTTCCTCCCGCGCGAGTACGGCCTGACCAATCTGGATAGCGTGCTCGTCTATGTGGACAAGGAGCGCATGAAGATGGGCGCCGCGCTTGTGCTCGCGGATAATCGGGGTGCGCACTCGAAACAGCGCGAGCCGCCCCTGCCCGACGTGGTTGACAAGATTGCGGACGACTTGGGGCTTGAAGGTGACGCCCGCGAACCTATTTGGTACAAGTGTGTTTATTAGACAGTTGGTGCATTTGGGACTCCTCCCTCTCAGATCTTAGGATCCATCCTTACCATCCTTGCAGCGCTCACGACGGTGGCTCGAGAGTCGAGGCACGTCAGTCTCACGACGTTCATCCTTGCTCGTCAATTTCGTACCCGTGTATTTGTAGGACTCGAGCTATCCCCGCTACCTTCGGGGGATGTTGAGATTTCATGTTGCTTTGTTACAGACATAAGAAAGTTGCTGTGCCATACCCTACCCTAATGCTACATTTGTGTATGTATATGAGGAGTCGAACCCATCTCTCGGGACGTGCTACTTCGGGTCGCGTTTCCTGCCATATAGTACTGTAAAACAGAGATGATGAAACACGAGCCAACTATTACTGTTACGGTGAAGTCGTTCACGCAGCATGGCTTGTGATATTTGAAAATGGCCACAACATCGAAGTGTCCAAGCACAATCACCTTCTTGCCACCATATGCATAATGTGGCTGGGAGTTATGGGTCACAAGCCTATCGAGTATATCACGTGATGCTCAAGCATCCAACGCGCTTCCCCTGCACTGCAACAGCACGGGCAGCGCAATCATGATGAGAAACGGTCTCCCGGTTGCGAAGCCTCATCGATGTGGGTGCGTTCGCTATTCAGCACATTTCAAGATACACTTTCTCTGCCGACTTGGACCATCTACTGTAGGCGATTCACTACATCGTCAATCCACCACCGATGGCATGGAGGTTAGCTCTTTTGCAAGGGAGAGCCGACTCGCTTCAGATTGTCGCAAGCGACGTTGTGATTTATGACTCCCCGCGTCGAGGCCAGGGACGAACAAGAAATAGAGTGGAATCCTCTCTGGGTGTTTGGGCTCAATTCGTACGTAATCCAATTTCAGGGAGCGGGACAAAGCCAGTCATATTACAACCCGCCGGGGCACCGAGTAGCATGCAACCTGCAAGTCCCACCCGTTCATCTACCCTCTCGCATATTGCTACTGTCTATGTGACTATTTGCGGCATCGTCTTCTATCAATATCCGGTGCATGGCTTTCTGTCGTTCAGCTGAGCTTTTTCCACCTGCCCTCTTCCCTCTAGGTTGCGGACTGTACTTCTATGCTAGATATCCTTCTCAGGCGAGGTGGACATTGGGGATATCAGTATCTGGCCGCTGATCCTCGATAAAGCCTGTGCAGGTGTGGTGCCTGTATGCATATATGCTTGTGTATGCACCCGCTGCCCCCAGTCGACAGTGCACTACTCCTGTCCGTGTATTTCTGAGTGTCTGACTGGCAGTGTATATTCTCATAACTGAACTCTTGCCATTCAAGTGGTATGGAACTGTGGAGGGTGCACTGCAGAAGACCCGGCAGTTATACCCCTGGATGAGGTCAGAATTTCATGGAAAGGGCATCGACCACACCTCACCTGCATTGATCGATTGAGACAAGTTGCTGGGCTTCTCATCGGGAAAACACTGCAATCTTTGTGCTTCATGACCGCATGTAGGATGCCTCCGCTAGTGAAAAGAACGGTACGCACGAGTACGGGTACGGGTACCATTCGGCCGTACCCGTGACCCGGGGGGTCTCGAAAATGCGTTGTTCAACGCCCGTTCGAAACCAAAACCCGTGACCCAACCCGTACCCGTGCCATTCACTAGCTTCTGCTCCTTGCCTGGCGGTGGTTGGTAGAACAATCGTGAGGAGGTAGTGCTTGCTGCCGCCTCTCAGTGAGGCAGATCTTTGTCATCGGGCGTTATCATCAACCGGAGTCCGAGCCTGGGCTGGAATTTCCGATTTCCGTGTGGTGGAGGGAGAAAAGTCTTCGCTGGACCAATATTCAAGATACAAGTGTGCACAGATATCTTCTCGTGACTGCTCCAACAAGGCTCTGGCATATACTGTACGCGCTGTCACCGGGGAGGCCTCTCCAAATGGGAATCCACAGGAATGGCCTAGATGTCGCGTACGGACATGACCCCCTGACCGCCTTCCTGCAGTGCTTCCGAGACATTGTTCAAGATGCACCACAGATGCTGCGTCTGAGTTTGCAACAAGGCCGGGAGGCACAAAGGTGACTCACCGTACATACTATCTTACATAGGCTGGATGCTGGCTAGCAGCAAAGCAGCTTGCACTTTCAGGTGTTAATGACATCAACGGAACTTCTCTCCTCCACATGCTATTGCCGCTTCTCTGACACTTTGAGTTGCAGACTTTGGGGCCGGGAAAGATTGTAACCGACATGACAGGGACTACCACAGGCTCTGGTTGGCTTGAAATTCCCTTTTGTACAATCTTTTGCCCAGCCCTAAATTGAGAAGGAGTAGCAAAGCATATATGTGATTGTGGGACACTTGCTCACACCTTGGGAGTTGCAGTCTTCAGGCCCCTCACTGGTTGCTTTCAACTGGGGATCTAACTATGTCCTGGCACGTTGCTGTGACATTATGCCTCCTTCACCTTCTGAGTGTACTGAATAACTGGCATTAGGCTTTCACAGGTACTACAGTCAGTGCCATGTACATATGATAGCTGTATATTTGACAATGCCAAATACTGTGTGGTAGATGCTTGGATGGCTGATGCAACAAGGAAGTCCCAGAGCAAGTATAGACCATGCTCGAATGACTGTCCAACATAGACTGTCCAACTGTCAAAAGCTCATAACAAAGGTGGATAAAATACATGTTTGTCTAAAAGCAATATATATACTGTATCTAAGGCTGTCAGGAAGGCAAAGAGCAAGAAAATTAGCAGCAGCTCGTTTCGATCGAGCGACCTTTGGGTTACATCACGTGATTTCTTACGTAATCAAACGTATGAGCCCAACGCGCTTCCACTGCGCCATGCTGCTTGTAAAGGATCTGGAATGAAAGCCCCATGTCCAGAGACCAATTTTCATTGAAAGAGCGAGAGGAATCGATAAGGAAACGCGTCCGCTACGAGAGAAATGATGGGGAGGCGGGAGGAGGGACGGTGAGGCGTTGTGGGTCCACCTTTCAGAGATTTCACGTCGTCCCGCCAGACATATGCCAGATATCCACCGCGACTCTATTTACGTTGACAGGGGAAGCTCATTCACCCCGTCCCATTTGACAAGGAAGCTGCTTGCGTCCGGAAATGGCCACAATTGGTCGCCATGTCTTTGCCACACCACTTCGAGATTGCGCACCCCCAATAGACATGACGGGCCCCCTTGAATTCGACACAGCGCAGATACAGAGAAAAACACGCCACAACAGCAATTATCCCGTGTCCATGTGAGACGATACCAGGCTACCTGGAGAGGTAACATTCAGGACAGGATACTGAACACGAGGCTGTATATGCAGTCGGGAAACTACATCGATACGCATACAATATGCCACCTACTCTCCCTCGTCCCCCAGTCCGAATATTTGGTTGAGCAAATGAATCTGTCCAAACGGCCGCTGTCCCCCAAGCAGCGTACTAGCAGCCTCGTATTTATTCTCGGGTTTTCTGACTTCTTCACACAGCTTTCGATACGCGTTCGCCACACGAGTCAGCGCCGCCTGGTGAATCCGCGAATGCAAACGCTGCACCGTCAGCCGGGATAGCCTGGGTGAGTGCACAACCTCGAGCCCGGAGAGCCAGTTTGAGAACTTTTGCAACGCCAGAGACAATTCGTTCGGTTGCGTAGCTTCTATGCGCGAAAGGGGGTCCTTTGGGGTAGAGCGCTGTCAGATGGGCGACGGAGAATTGAAAAGGATGACTCACTCCCGGGGCCTTGGTCTCAAGGACAGCTACAGCAGAATCCAGACCAGCATCTCGCAAAATATCGAGGTACTGGATAACTTCGATTCAAAACAGCGCTTGAGAGAGCGACGACATGCTTACATGTTCGTTGACGAGATCATTCACTCTTTCTTCCACCAGTGCATCCAAACGCTCCTTTTCCGCAGAAGCGAACGGATATGGCTCTAAAACACCCTGACGCACACAGATTGGGCGGTGAGAAGGTCTGTATCACTGGTGAAGAAGGATCAGGAGCATACCTGTAGATATGTCAAACAGTTCAATACAAAGACCGATTTATCCCACGTAGGTCTGCTTCTCTTCTTGTCCTCAGCTGCTGTTAGGCAGACCTCAAGCGCAGGATTGATCATGATTTCCAAAATGCGCTCGACGCCGAAATGAGACTGCCCTCCCGATGTCTCCGCTTTCCCGTCCTCCTCAGGCTGCGTATCACTTGGGTCATCAAGCCGAGAAGATTCGTAGACAGATAATATTTCGCGTAGTGTCTGCATATGTTCTTCCACGGTCGCTGGCGGTGAGAGCGCGGAATCATCGAGATCCTTCAAAATAAAATGGATGATTAGTATCACCTACAATGGGCAGGAAGTAAACCTACCAGAATCACTCGTAATAAGGCTCGTCCTTGAGCTTCTATGGCGTCGAAAAAGACCTTGTAAGACATTTCACTCAACCTGAGCAACGACATCAGCATTCGCGAGGAATCTATAAGAGCGGTTCACGTACTCTCCCAGAGCTTGCGAAAGAGCCGCATCTTCGCCGATGGTCCGTCGCATGGTCAAGGCATAGAAGTGGAGGAGGTTCGCAATTTTGAACGCAAGGATTGGCCTCTCTTGAGATCTAACTGTCTGTTGAACTCGAACCTGTGTTCGGCAGTGAGACAGAGGATAGCAGGGACGGTCGATGTGATACATACTCTGAGCGGACCGCACAACTTCCCAACGTTCCTGTCTACCACTTCACCTATCCACTCTTCTGTCTCTCCCATCTTCCCCTTCTCAAACCTGCGTACACTCCCTATCATCCTACGGCTACTTTCACCTTCCCTTCCCAGGCCGAATAGACTCTCCATAAATTCACGCTCGGCGGCTATAGCTTGGTGCACCCAAGCTAGCATATCGCCGATGTACCGCAAGGGGTCGTGCGCGTGAAGCTCGATCGGCCTTGGAAGACCAGATGGGCCGCCTCGAGTGAGCGCGTCCAGAAAAGTGGCGAGTAGTGTAGACTGACGAGTTTGTGATAGCGCACCCAACGCTTCCCTTAAACAATCTCAATATGAGTGCGGGTTTCGGAGAAACTTGAATGACCGACTTACGAAAGCAATTCAGGTCGACTCCGAAGTCTGCGCACGGCTTCCTTCAATATCGGAGATGCCTCTAAGTTGGCGTCAGGATCCACGCTTCTCTCGCGGTCCCGGTTGCCTCTCCCTATCGTCTGGAACTCGCTCACAAGATATCTGAATATCTTTTCATAAGCCTGCTCCAGATTGGCGAATGTAGCGGCAATAATATCGAGTCTGAGGCAGCTGTGGTCAGGATCGGCAGTCCAGCTGTCCACTGGATTCAACTAACCCTGCCTTAGTGGGGCCATCCACACCCATGAGGACCCTGCAATCCTCTCGAACTTTCGTGGCCTTGTCCATAGAGGTGAAGAACAACTTGCCAGGCGGGACGTCGCGGGAAGTAAGAGCAGTTACTTCCTCTGACGATAGGGTAAACCGGGACAGGAAGAGGTTGAGAATGGTTTGCTGGGTAGCTATCATATCCCTAACGACTTGGGATTAGGTATAATCCGACAAACTGAGTCCGGAAAGGTACCTCTCTTGTCGCAAGTTCCCAGCCTGGTCGAGCAGCGACTTACATGCTTCGTTGGTCGTTTGCAACTGCTCGTGGGCTTCATCGCATTGAGTGCGCATAGATGTTATATGCTCTTGCAATGCATCCAGTTTCTGCGGTGCAATATAGTTAATGACTGACCAGGGTTATTCAGGGATAGCTGAGTGTATGCAGGTGCGGTGGTTGCAAATCCTGCCTGCTCATACAGGCAAGCCTTGGAGTCACCTCATATTGTCAATATACTGCTTTTATCGAGGCAATGAAGCGCAGGTCAAGACGGCACTTAGCTCGTGAGGAGTGCCCCACTACTAACTGTCCAGCTTGTCTCAGTGTTCCAGCATGCCACTGCAACGAGGATACGAAGAACACAGTGCACTCCTTTACACCCGACATACCCTCTAGCCTTGCTCAACGAGAAACACAAGCGCCCCGAATACCACCATACGCACTGGTACAGCATAGACGAAGCAGCATAGATTTCAGGGAGGAGCTTACTTGGTCTACTTCACCCAATGCCTTCAGAAACTTCCGGCTACTGCTAGCCAGTTTCAAATCAATGTCTCTTCTTAGGTTCTTCCTGGCACGAGCAGCAGCTCCTGTGGGCGCCACGACCTGACGCGATAGGTACGGGCCCAACGAAAGCTTCTCATCTTCATCTGTATCGCTTCGCTCGTCCTCGTCTGAATCCAGTTCATCCGAGTCTTCAGAGCTGCCGGCTATAGGTTTTGCATTGCCATTTACATTCGTAGTCTTGGATCCAGCAGCATTGGACGCGCCGTACAGCTCGGACACCGTCCGCAGAGCTTCCTTAGTTGCTTCATCTTCGAACCCAGCCCCGAGGACCTTGTAAAGACGCAAAGATACAGGATTCCGGGCCTGGCTTGGGGAGTGAGAAGGCGACACGCCAGAGACCAGCCGTCTAGACGCTAGAGGACTTGTGGAAGGACGAGGAGCAGGGCTGGACATGTCACGAGCGTGACCCACCCTCAGGCACACGAACTGTACTCTTACACGGAGTTTGTTGGGGACGATGCTAGCATCAATTATTTGGGTGTCGGATATCCGACGCATGTATACCTAAGTACTAAACAGAGTCTATAAACGATCGACAAAAGACCCAATCCTCAAAGATCCGCCTGCGTGTATTTTAGTAGTAGTGAACCTTTACCAAGAGTGAGTTCCAAAACAGCATATATTATAATGCACAACTCACCTCCTCCCGCTCGCGACCGCGCATGAACGGCGGCTCAGTACCCTTGTAGTAGATGTCGGTCCAGAGGTCCTCAATCTTGGGCTCTGGCGAAGCCTTGGCCTCCTCAACTGCCTCGTCGACTTCGGCCTTAGCTTGCTTGTCGAGTTTCTGCAGAAAAGGTCAGTCAGACTGAACAGGGACAATCATTCTGGAGTCCTGTACGGACCTTGAGTTCCTCCTCCGTAGCCAAACCCCACTCCTCAATGTAGTGCTGGAGACCACGGATGGGGTCCTGCGTGGAACGCATCCGCTGGATCTCCTCACGTGTACGGTAGGTGGTTCCAGGATCCGACATGCTAGATCGGGTACTCAATAATACGCGAGTAGAGAACAAAGACTGGACGTACGAGTGACCACCGTAACGATAGGTGACGAACTCCATGACGAGAGGGCCGTTGCCCGAGACTGCCCAGTTCTTTGCGAACCGGCATGCCTGGAGGACAGCGATGATGTCCATTCCGTTCACCTGGAGACCAGGGATCTTGTCGCCACGAGTATAGTACTGGGTGTTCGAGGAGCTGCGTTCGGCGGAGGTACCCATTCCGTACTTATTGTTCTCGCAGACGAAAACGCAGGGCAGGTTCCAGAGTTTGGCCTGATATCGGGCTTCAGAGCTAAGGCAATGTATAGTATACGCCAGAGACGCACCATGTTGAACGCCTCGAACACCTGACCCTGGTTGCTAGCACCATCACCGTACATGGCGAAGGTGGCTATGGGCTTCTCCTGGTACTTCGCGGCGAACGCGATGCCGGCACCGACGGGAACTTGTGCTCCGACGATACCATTACCACCGAAGAAGTTCGGCGTGAAGATGTGCATGGAACCACCCTTCCCGTTCGACATACCGGCCTGTCGGCCGAGCAGCTCGCCAATAACACCCTTGATGGTACCGCCGCGCATAACTGCGAAGGGATGGCAACGGTAGGCAGTAATGACAAGGTCCTGCTTCGTGATCGCGTGCTCCAGGCCGACCGCGATAGCTTCCTACATGCTCCTTGAGCTCCAGTCCTATAAGGATCAAATCAATAACGTACCTGCCCGATAGCCAAATGGCAGAAACCACGAATAAGCTTCGCCTTGTACAAGGCGTCCGCAGCCATCTCCATCCGCCGCATAGTTGACATCTCCTTGTACATGGTCATGAGCATATCTTTCGTGACCTCCACCTCGAAGTTCGGCGGGGCATCCAGCCTGTATGTGTGGAAGGAGTCTTCATGAAGTTTAACCTGGAACGGCTCCGACTTGTGGGGGGTATCTAGTGGTTGTGTCGTGTCCGCCGACGTTTGCAGCGCCCGCGCGGCGACTCGGAAGGGCTGCAGACGCGTCTCGTTCAGCACAAACTACACGGCGACGTCTATGAACCCTTACAGTGCGCCTGGCAATCGTAGGCCGTAACCGTGCTAGTGTCGCCATTGCAGAAAGAGGGATGGGCCGTCGACGTGTCCGTGCCAGACGCGGTGGGATGCTTGAGAAATTTCGGACCCTGCTTACTTGTGTGCATGCCGGAGAGGCCCGGGACGCTGCTAGGACGGCCGTTCGGACCTCCCAGTGGTGTCTTCCCGCCCGCCCGTCCCACACAACCCGGAGAAAACACTCAGCACATATCCTGTAGTACGAGATATATGGTACAGCAACAACGAGCTCAACTAAAGTCGTACACAAACGTCCGGTATATATTACAGCCGAGACCACGAAAGGAAGAAGCGGCGGCGGCGGCAGAGCGGTCAAAGCTTGTGATAAAATAGCGGGCACTAGCATTGCATATCCTCGCCATGCTCAAGCCACTCCAGGGCTTCCCGGGCCATCTCTCGAACATCCAAGTTGTCCTCCACACCGAGATGGTGTCGGCCCAACCCACCCGGACTCAAGCTGATCCCACGGCTGTGGTCGGTCATCCGCTGCAACACTGAGTGGATGTTGGCGTCCCGGAGGGCTTGCTGGCTGCGGAGATTCGACTTCGACAGCTGTAGGATGCACGCCATGGCTGGTTTGCGGACTTCCACGTTATGGTCGATGAGGCAGTTCCGCAACGCCGACAGCAGTTCCTGGTGTGCGAGGATCTGGTCTTGGTATGCCGCGGAACCATTTGCGAGGTTGGATAACAGTGCGGCTCCCTTTCCGACCATTCAGTTAACCGCATAGAACCGAGAGAGCATAACGAACTGACATGGCGCAAGACGTGTTCGTTCTCCGAATTCAGGGCAACCTCCACAGCACTGAGCAGTGCGTCACCGCCTATCTCATCGAAGACCATCTTGATATTCTCCTCCGAATCCACGATGTTCTGCAGGACATGTATTGCTTGCTCCTGGATATCCGCACTTGGATCTGTCAACAGACTAAAATGATTTAACAAGGACGTTAACGTCGACGTTGGGTCCTACTAACTTGGCAAATTGCTCCCAGCCGATTTGGCCCATGACGTTCTTCTTGACTTCGTGGGTCGCTCTGTACATTGTGTTCTTAATTGCCCAGATGGCGTTCAGTCGCAGCGCAGGGTCATCGCCGTTGAGCAACTGAATCAGCCGGGTGACGATGCCTTGCTCAAGAAATACCTGGTCCACCAGAGCCAGGTCTAACTTTGTCCTGCCGAGGAAGGATAGTCTTGGAATCATACCTTCTGTAACGGCGAAGACTCGTTCATCAAATTACATATCGCCGCTGATGCAGCATGCGTAACCTGCCGGTCCTCTTCCTCCTTCTGGAAAATCCGGAATATGCCACTTCCCAACTCGTTGTCGACTATACTCGTACGCAGGGCACCGACGTGGCGCGCAATTGCTCGCACGCACTGGCACGCCGCATACCGTACGCCGACGTGCCGATGAGACAAGGACGCGTGGATGACAGGGAGGAGGTCCAGGTTGTCGGTGATTTCTCTCCGAATATCGTTGTCGAACATGGATATACAGGCGACGGCGGTCAGAGCGGCCTACGATACATTTCAGGGTGCATAGTGTGACATGCCAGAGACCGACCTACCTCCCGAAGACAAGATATGCTTTCAGGTTCGTCTTCGTCCCAGTCACTGCTCTTCTCCAAAGGTGTGATTTGCTTCGCGAGATCAGACACTTTTGAGAGAGAACCTCGTTCGAAGGCTAACTGGCACAGTTCCCGATCATCTGTGACTAGGTAGCCTGCAAAAGAGTTCTGTGCTCAGCTTGTGCAAAAATCATGGAAGGAAATACGAACTGAGAATGAAACACGCTTTCATCTTGGCCTCATGCGATACTTTCGGCGACTCGATTAGGCGGTTGAGCACAGGTAAGATGACCATGACCAGCGGTGAGTCCACAGCAGGGGGATGAATGTGCAGAGGACCATATTCTGTTATAGTCGTAGCTCGCACAATTCTTGTTACACTACCTCCCAAATGAACGTCATGCGAAATTAGAAAAGTTACTCCGGCATACCATAAACTTGCGGCAATCTGGACCTCCGTGGAACGAGATTTACACAATGACAATGCAATAGACCGTGCGGACTGTCCTGTATAGCGTAAGGGGGTATGCCACAAAATGCTAGGTGTGAATAGATATTTACCGTCAGGGCCAAGAGTCTCCAGTGCTACGGACAAGGGATTGTTCTCCTTGGCTAATGCAGCTATGGCAGACAAGGCCGCTTCTTGCACCTTCAACGCTATGAAATGAGACACTGTACATTGTTGTACACGAGACATACGTACCTTCGCTTCCTGGCTTTGACAGAGTGCCGTCAAACATCTAGCAGCCCATCCACCTTGTTTCCCCGATGTCCTCACTGGTTTCTCCCAACCACGTTTACGGCTCTCTTTAGCCCTATCCACAGGAGGCAGCCAATCCACGACAGCTTGTCGATGGGGCGCTCTGCGTATGGCGGACGCAATTAGCTGCGCTATTGGCATAGTGACCTGAATAGATGGGTCTTCGAGAAGAGGCAGCCAAAGGTCAAGAATTTCGGCCTGAGGAGTTTAGCACAACTTCAATTAAGGCAGGACGCCACTGCGATAAGTAGACGTACCTGGAATAGATACTCTAATGCGACCTTCGCCTCGCCTCGTGCCTCCGATTTCTCAGCACGTATCCCCCACATCGAAGGGCCCACTACATCCGCAATAGACGATCCTAACACTCTGAGCCCTCTCGCCAACGCTGCCTTCAAGGCCGGGGAATCGGTAGGTTGCAGATTGGAGACAGCACAGACGAAAGCCTGGTGTGCTTGAAATCGCAGCAGGTTCTTCAAAGCTGCCTCTGGCCCGTATGCGAGCGATGAGATTACCTGAGCCGCCTCAATTCGAAGATCCTCCGGGGTATCTGCATAGCGCGGATCATACGACGCGGTCGGCTCAACGCAGTCCACGAGACTATGTCACGAAATATGGGATTAACAGTGGACAGGGTGATACGAAGCGTATTCACATATCCTGCCACAGCTTCGGTACTCACGCGTTTATGAACCGCTCGTCCTGCGTCAAAGCGAGTTTCTCCGTTGGGTTCCCTATGACCCTGTTCTTGACTTTCTTGAGCGTCGGAACATCCGGAGTCATGAGCGTCATGGCCGCAGGACGCGTAGTGGCATTCGCGGGATGTATGTAACAAAGCTGTGATCTACGCGCCGGGGAGGCGTGACCCGGATACACGGCCGAACTTCGACGGCTGGGAAACAAGTTCTATAAACAAGGCAAGTATGCGGGCGGGATTCGTCCGACTTGCTAGACGTTCGGTATGCCTTCGTATCGCAAGCTGCAGCTTTGGGCGATTGCCATCAGCGTCGCGTCGGTGCTGTACAACGGCGCGGAGGGTGGACTGTCGATCGGCTTTGGCGCGGAGTCCTCCTCCCGCTCTCTTATATTCTTCGGGATTCAATCGGCTGTCGAAGTAGCATCGTCCCTTATCGTGGTATGGCGTTTCAGAAATGTTGCCAAACCAGGAGAAGAACGAGCCGCGACGCTCGACCCTCGCAGTCTCAGGTGACGCTCAAAACTGTCATATTTCACAGGAGATCTACCTCTCACTTTTCTGCCTTCGTATAATAATATAGGTTTGAAAAGCACTCGACGCTCGCTATAGGTGCTCTTCTGCTACTGCTCGCAGCGTCGACGATCGGCACTGCAGTCGCGGTCCTCGTCCGTCATGAAGAACCAGACTCGAGCAACGCCTCCCTCATAATCTCGGCCTCAGCGCTGGTCATTATGATCCTGATATGGTTGCCGAAGCGGTACCTTGCGCGTGCGCTGAATAGCTCCACCATGCAGGGCGAAGCGACGTGCTCGCTCTCTTGCATCCAGATTACCATAGTCCTCTTCGTAGGCTCGCTCATATTCCGTGTGTGGCGAGGTGGCTGGTGGCTGGATGGTGCCACGTCCATTTTGCTGGGCTTCCTCTTCGGATGGGAAGGCGTGAAGATGGTGCGCTGGGCGAGGAACCCAGACTTTGACGGTGGATGTTGCGGGTCGTGTCGTGCGCCAGTGCTGCCCATCTCGGAGCTGGAAGAAGGGGAACGATACAGAGATATTTGTTCATGCTGCGAATCCAAGGAGGAATGCTCCAAAGCTGATCAATGTGTTTGCGGAGAATCTGTCGGGGTAAGAGTACTGAAACTCCAGTTACGCCTGGACAGAGGTATCTCAATCGCTACTACTAGGACTGCTGCAAGCCTGTGAACGCCGATGGTGAGAAGTGCTGCACCCGAGAGATTGTCTTCAAGAAGAGGAATACTCTTACGCAGAATGCCCTCCCCAGTGACGGCTGCAACGATGTACGTTTCCTGACAGATCCGGACCCTTCGAACTTACTGAATACCGGGCTAGAGCTGCTGCGGCCACCAAGACGCCACCGCGCCCGCGCCGGACCCCTGCTGCGATGGAGAACCTGACACCTGCTGTATGGGAAGCTCGCCCGAGGCTGACACTAACTCTGCTCGCAACAAATGTGGCAATGAGGACTCCTGTTGCACCCATGAGCAGGGCGGACAAGATATCTCCTCTGCCAGAGATGTGGTCCAGGACTGCCAGAGTGACCGCACTCAGGACTCCCCAATGTCTGGCTGTTGTGGTCATTGTTAGATGGCATGAGTCGCGCTGAATGAGTTCATTGTATGTGTCTTCTTAACAATTGGCTCTGGTGTTTTCGTAACTTCTATTTTATGATGTCATGTAGCAGGAGTCAATGCAATGCCGTAGTGGCACATCCACTCGAGAGATGGTATGTATGCTTGTTCGATGTGCTAGAAATGTGTATGTAACACTGTAGCTTTCAAACATTCACTTGCCATGTGATGATACACATACACCTTTGGCTTATTTCCGTGCTATGTGTACGGTCAAGCACATGTACGTAACATTCGAGTATATGGCACGACAGCTATCCTTTATGTCCAGAACGTAACGAACAGAAATCTCGAAGCCTCCCGAAGGTAGCGTACACAGCTCGCAAATTGTGGAAATACAGTATTATACACATGTACGGCAGGTGGCAAGCTAGAATCTCCGAGGGCGGGGCACTGGGCGCGCCGCATACAAAAGAAGCCATAGTCGTGAGCAGTGGCTCTTCGGGTACTTGGCTGTGAGGACTGTAAGGATGGAGACAGAGAATTCAGCGGTCTCAGACGCACCATTTGTTCAGTCAACACACTTGTACCAAATAGGCTCGCGGGCGTCGCCTTCAAGACCCAAGTCGTCGGCAATCTTGTCGACCGCGTCGGGCGGGGGTGGCACTCGATGTTTCGGGAGCCGTCCCCGATTGTCCGCCAGCACCAGCACTTCGCCCATCTTCATGCGGTCCTTGTCCACATAAACGAGGACGCTCTCCAGGTTCGTACTCCCGCGGGAGCAGCTGCGGCAGGTAATCTCGTATTGTCAAGAAGTAGCTTTCTTCTTCATCCTCGGAAGCGCCATCGGGCATGGGCAGGTACTTATCGTAAAAGCGGCGAGTCATAGCTTTGGTTATGAGGTAGCCCAGGACGTGGTGCGACCGGGGCACAGGTTGGGTTTGCCAGCGGCGAGGGGCAGGTAACGCGTCAGTCCTAGGCGTCAACATAATCACCGTGCTCGAGTGATCACTGTCAGGTAGCGACAATTTCGAACGATTGGACGACGTCGATAACGGAGACGCCATGATGAATCTACAGACTGACATGACACCACAGTAAAAGGAAATTAGAAGGAGAAGCTTGAAGTGTGATCAATTACTAGTAGACAAGGAGAGTTACGCCAGGCCAAGATGCAAAATGCTCTAGTGAAAGATGAGGGTGTTGTGGCTCTGCCAGTGACTGAAGAACGCTTTGAGTAGGTCGCTGTTGCTGACACGTGGACCTTATTTCATCCGCGGGTACTGTATTGAAATGCACCTGCTACAGCAATATCACTTCAGAGCAAAGGTAATTGTCGTGAGCGGTCGGGTAGTGTCCCGAGTTGCTTGATAACATGCACCCTCCGAACTGCGAAGCCACCTTTCTCACGTTTGTGGCCGGGAAGCAAGTGACGTCACATACCCCGCACTCTACTGTATGTAGCTGACAGTAGAATGGAGAAAAGCTACGTGCATCCCATTGCGCTTGACATCCAACCGACTGACAATAAGGATCATAAATACATAAGCTAGCTATGACCTACCGACCAAACCAGAACGATTTCGACCGCAAGGACCAGAAGATGCTCGGAATTGATGGTACGTGAACCACTCATCTCCGGTCGGCGGTCAGGGACGCGACTTACGGTTTCCTATGTCACAGACCCAGGCGACATCGATTACAACAAGCTAAACAGAGAGATGGGTAGCGGTACGTCTCTCGATGCTACCTGGTACCAAGCTCTGAACAGACTCACCGTCCACGTCACAGACGGCGCCATCGCCGCGAAACCGCAGACCAACACCACCTCCATCGACGGTAACTACGGTCTCGATGAAGCCGACTATGGCTCCGGCGGGATCATCCCTGGTGGCTCGACAGGCGATCAGTTTGGCGGTGTCAGGCTCACTAGCGGGGCGTCGACTGTGGCTACGGACGCGTTCACGGGTGATATCGAGGGGGAGCTGACCACCATGAGGAATACGGGGCTTGAAGGGTCGACATACGGTGCGGTGAACGAGGGGAATGCGGAGAGGAAGGCAGGTAGTCAGGCAGGGTCTGGTTCATCCGGACCTACAAGATGAAAGAGTGCGCATTAGACTTACCTACTGAACCGGACGTGTACCATGTAGATAGTGTCAAATGTATTCTAGCGGTCTCACCCCTTGCCCATGTCGACGATGGCCACATAAGCCTTCGTGCAGGACTTTATGGCAACCTCCCGCGAAAGCAGAGTATGATCTCGGTACAAACCAAATGTAAAATTAAAGTAAAAAGGACACAAACAAGGTAGCCCTGATAGTTGAGAAATTGGCAATCGACACTGACTTGGGGTTGAGACACGGAACGCCCTAGTAAAAGGCGAGGGCGTTGTTTCTTGTCCCAACCACTGCCGACAAATAAAAGAGCCGTTGAGGAGATGAATGTGGCTGACGTTTGGATTTTGTTCGGTCGGCGGGTGACTAAGTACTGTCGATGATCGCTTCCTCGTCAATCACTTCGAGGGTTTACTCTATTTGACGGGTAATTGGAAGTAGTCTATTCAAGGCAGACATTCGTAGCACCATATTTCCGTCCATGCTGCTGCACCGTCTTGCAGCTTCAGAGGCATGTCGAGGATCGTTGTCCGCGTCGTCGCTATGAGTCCGCGCCACCGTTTGTCGCAGAGATCGGATCTGTTCGGTTATCCCTATATTCCATATTTCATTTTCCAGACAAATGCGCCCGAGCCGTTCACGGACACTGCTCAACGCCAGCTACGACAGCACACCATAGACTGACTGCCATATACCCCGGAGGATGCCCTTTACCACTCGCTATGTCCTGCCCGTCGCCCTCGTTCTTTTCTTCGGCCTGAACTACGCTTTCCTGTCGTACACCCACCCTATCGACTCGCTCAAGTCTGTTATTAACCTCAAGCAGCAATCCGACTCGACTATTAACTTCCACCTTAATGTTTCGTCGCCCTCGGACAGTAAGGTCGCAGACACCGCGATGGCCCCTGTGGTGTTTGCGCTCGTGACATTCGGAGCCTCATCCGCGACCGAGGGTTTGCTCGCGCTCAAAACCGCGCTGATGCACGTATCAAGACCTGCGGACTTCCATATAATTTGCAGTCCAGACGCGGTTCCGATAATCCAAGAAAAGATAGACCTGTTTAGCAGACCGGCGTACCCCGTGAACGTGCGGTACTACCCCCTAACGGACGCGATGATCAGAGCCAGAGCATCCCGGGCCGGGGTAGACACAAGATATTCAGCGGGACTTGGTGAGTGCTTTTGCAGTATGCATAGTAGCGGTTATCGTGCAATACGTCCCCTCCTTTCCGCCACACCCGTGTGCTCGAATCGCTAATTCCACGCCCAGGCGGCCTCGTAAAAGTCTTCATCCATGAACTCCTCTACGACGTGGAAAAAGTCATATTCTACGATACGGACATGCTCTTCCTCGTTGACCCCTTTCTCCTCTGGCGCGAGTTCCAGGAGATGCACGACGACCAGATGATTGCGTTCCCGACGCTCGGCGCCGACAGCGACCCAATGGAGATCTGTACTTGTGTCATGTACGCCTTACCCTGTCCCTCGCCGTACCTGTGCTCACGACGGCCATGTATAGGCTGTTGAACCTCCGTGCGATGCGTGCGACGAGCTTCATGCCCTCCACCCTCTTCCCGCCCTCCTCACCCAAGTCAATATCCCCCGCCGCTTGGAGAGCGACCGGAACCGACCCTCTCAAGCCCAAGTTCGGGGACCAAGGCCTGTACTGGGCCGTGTGGAAGCATCGGCCCGAGTACTTCAAGCACCTCTCGATGAGTTGGGACATCACCCACTGTCGCTTTTCGTGAGTCGCGTGTCCCTTACCTCTTGCTTTATCAGTGTTAGTGGTACTGATGGCGTTTGTCCACGTAGATATGGCTTGTCCCTGGCCGACGGGGACGATAGCATGCCCGAGGAGGAGCAGGTGGCGCACCAGAAGGAGCAGTTTGACGTGCGCACTGCGCCGGAGCGCTTCACGCAGCTCTTCCCAGGAATAGTGCATTTGTACGTCTCCTCCACATATCCCGCTTGCCCAACCTTTAACCTTAACGTCACCTCCACTAGCAACTGCCAACCCGATTACGACGTCGTCTGGAACGAGCCCAAGAATGCGCAGCGCCCGCGGTGGGGCCCCTTCGTCACCGTGGCGATCCAGTACAAGTGGATTTGGCTGAACCGCGGGCAAGGCGACGCGCGCGTGGACGCGCGTATCGTGCGCCGGCCCGAAGGGGAGTGGTGGTGGGACCAGGTGTTCCATCGCAAGGGCGGGTCGCTGTCCGTCGAGGAGTTGGAAGACGACTTATCGCGCAGAAGGGGGGGGCAGGAGGAGCCGATATCGAGAAGTAAGACGGTTGGGCACCGGCGGGTGTCGCATTAGAGAAGGGTCGGCTGTGCCCACCCGGTGTGAATACCCCACGTACCATTCATTTGTTTATACGCAACACCACACACTAGAGAATGGATTGAGTACGTAATGCTGTATTTATCTTGTAATTTATCTCGTAGTGTAGAGACATCGTATTCCTGGGTCTTTGAATAATCTACTCAGTGCACGAGCGTTACAAGCACGGAATGCACGCTCGACGACCGGCTTCCCTAGACGGATTTCAGTCTTGTATTGTTATTTCATCCGTCTCGTCTCTCGAAGCTCTTACCTTACAGACGCCATGTCGTGAGGGAACAAAATACGCAGCCGATATTCATCAGAATAACGGTGGCTTTGTGCCAGTATCTCACAGTCGCATCACGACGTCCTCTATAAAGTGAATGACTTCCATCGCTCAGGTTTCAAATTGCAACATTTAAGCTTCAAATTCCAGGACATCCTCGCGGGACCAACGCGAGGGACAAAAGTGACGCATCCCATCACTTTGTGGCGGTGCTGCTAAAGTTGTGGCTCAAGTTCAACCAACTCACGCTTGCGCGCGGTGCATACTACTTACCTAGACTGGAGGCGGGGGATAACTTCAGCGTACTGCCCAGGGTACGGATATCGCAATCCATGAAACTACATGGAAGATTCACCTTGTCTCTTCGCGTGTTAGAATGAACTTTTGGAAGGACGCGGAGCATGTAACGTTACATGCTGTTCGTTCCAGCAATGAAGTTTGGCCTGCTCAGGTTCGCAGCCTGAGTGAATGTCTTCCGCATTCCCTACCTCACTGGTTTACGCATGTAAGCTTCCCTTATACCAACGATTTGCGAATGACCAGAGACGATCTATACCATAGGGTCCACATCCTTTTGTTTCGGGACACGCGAGTAGCTTGAGTGCCGAGCTACTTCAGAGGCGTCCCGTCATCCAAGACACACAGGATGACGAGGTAGAAATAGAGCGTCGCGATGCTCTCGAAGGCGATCTTAGTCGCTTCTTTGACGTCGCTCTTTCGACGACTGTGACCTTAAGATCACTTCTACGGGCAGAGTCGCAGCAGTCCTGCACTCCGAACTCGAAAGAATCCCTGTTTTCCAACCTCATAACCTATCTGATGTTCCTGTCATCTCCGGGAGTCTTAATATTGTACGAGAGTCTTCAGTTTTCCAAACCTTGGAACTGCATTGCTGACTTCCGTCTGAATCCTAGTGATAGGGCACGCTTTGCTCTCCCCCGCCACCCGAAAGTATTGGTTAATCCTGTACAGAAATACACCACAACTACGTCGATTGCTACACTTGTGGTCTGCTGCACGGCCGATGATTTCCCTCAGCTTCTCACAGGGTGCTCAACCCCTCCGAGCACATCCTCCCATTCAAGGGCCAAATCTAGTGCTAATTCAGCATCTGGAAGGTCATTCGGACCTCCACAACGTACTGGGATCGAGGCCAGTGATGCTTCTGGTTCTCGGCAGCAACGGGTGTTGGTCTCAGAGAAGCCAGTTCGCCCCCGCTGGCATGCCTCTGACTACGACAGACCCTACACACCGCCGGCGCAGTTCGATTCTTTCGGTGAAGGCTCCAGCGACAAGGACAGCTGTCCTGCAGGCCAGGAGGCACCTGATCACACCAATGTCAAATGTCAAGACGAGAACCTGAACATCCACATGCTTCCTGGTGCTGCTTTCACTGATATTCCGGTAATCCCTGTCATCTGTATGGCTGGCCCAGAGGATATCTATGGACTCATGGCTAGCGCGCTGTATCAGTGACATGTGTGGCGTACCCATGCCCCTGTAGTGGGTCTCACGTTTCCTCCCAGCGGAGCCACTGTCCAAGTCATATTTGGCTGGCTAGAAGACGGGGACTCGGGCTTATCGGAAGACGTCTTGGTGCGCTATTGTTCTCCTTAATTTGGCTAAGCTCCTCATAATTGCTGGTAGCCTCGAGTGCATATTGCTTTCCAGAATTCCGTGTGTGATGCGTCTTCGAGTGTCTTTGACCTTGAAGTTGTGCCTGTTTCTCTTGTCCTTGGGCCACCACGTTTATGAGATACGAAGTGCGCTGTCTGATGCTTCACATCAAGTGCACGCAGATATCAACAATAGAAGAGTCCTACAGTGGAGATCGGACTTACTAAGTATATTGATGAATGGCTCTGGCTCTGGCTCTGGAGCGAAGGAAAGCATTGCGGCCTGGGCACAACAGGTTGTCTTCGCACTAGAAGGAGATGAAGTGTGAGTCACTAGTGTATATTTTCCGTCGTGTGGCGACACATTGCAACACATGATTTTGTGTCTTATACTGATCCACAATCGTACTTTACACTGTGGTTCCCCCCTCATACCCTCAGTCAAAGTCTCGTTATTCACCACATTGATATGGCCTCGGAAGGTGGCAAAAAGATTGAGTCAGTGCTTTCGTGTCCTGATCCATATGACCCTAATCACTAATCCTGCTTCAAGATCAAGCCACGGTAATCCGTTGATATGCACAGACACACAACAATCACCAAGGACCAAAAGAAATAAACCTAAACCCCGTGATATGGGTGAAGGCGGTCCGAGACAACTGAAGGGTATTTAATAGTTCGAGGGGGAAAGGAGGAGTAAGACACCGTAGGGTAGTCCGTAGGAAGACCTAGAAAAATAAAACAAAAACCTTGACGCCTGAAACAAACACTAGTGGACGCTCCGGAGTATTTATCTCCGGAAAGTCGCAAACAAAGTCGCAAACCACGGAACCGAGTATAGGTTCGGGCCCACGGGAGTAGAAAATGCTAAAAGGACTTGTTTAATTTTATTTCACTATGTGAGACTCACCGGAGCTAATTGAATCGATGGCGGAGATAATTCACTTGACGAGTCAGGCCTATTGGCAAAGCTAGGATCGGTTATAATTCGCTAAGTTCGACGCTTTCGAACTTCTCGGGTTGCTGAGATCGTAACACTAATTCTCTGAGATGGTGAAGTCGAAACTTGTTTTTCTGTATGCTACTTTGTACAATTTATACTACAGGAATGGCTTTGCGACCATCCAGAGATAAATAACAAATAACCGCCGCTACCCACAGGATTGCTCAGCACTTGCCGCCGCTATACCATGCACCACACGACTCCCTTGCACTCCTACTTGCTCGTCCCAACCCCTAGAGGTCGCCTTGATGCTCTGCCACCTGATCCAAGCGGTCCCATCACTCCGTGTGACGCGCTGGTCACGTGCTAATTACCTCTGGCTGCTTGCTGACTGATGCTGGCCTCATGGTGACTCGTATGCGTCCGCACCTTCGGTATCTTGACGGAAGCGAGGGGGAGTGAGTGCTGGAGGGTGGGCATGAGGACGATGCCCCTCGATAGAAGTGCCCACGGCCCCGGAGCTAATTCATCTAGAAGTTGCGTTGGTTAAGTCGCTCCGGAGCTCCTGTTTGCGGAGATAAATCGCGGAATGGGTCCGTGTACGCCTCGAGGATGCTAGGAAGTCCGGAGCTACATAGAGCAGTTCTTTAGAGCCCATAAAAGCCTAGTGGCGTGTGAGTGCTGTGTCGAATAAGCTCCGGAGGGCTTGTACGATGTGCTGAGTCCGCATTTTCGGGGGTCAGACGATCCTGAGGCTTATCACCGTACGTATCATAAGGCAGTTCCATTAAGTTTCCTAATTTTCGTTAGTGAAGTGCAGTTGACTAGACCTGACTCCAACGAAGTCGGGAGTCGTTACCACCCTTTCCTC